AGTTATCATGCACACAGAAATGTTACCCTGGAATCAGTTATCTGCATTGCAGAAAGAATATATTGAAATATGCAGATGCATTCAAAATGGTAAAAAAATAAAAATCTTTTCAACTTTAAAAGTTCCTCTGGTGCTGCAAATCTCTTCTGAGGAAGTGGCTAAAACTCAGCCACTCCTGGACCTTGCATTGTTTGCCGTTGGTGGGACGATGGGCATTGCTGCAGTGCAGGCTGCTTGTTATAATCTGTGACACAGAGAAGGTAGGCTTCGAGCTGCAGCCAACAGTAAAAAGTGCATGCATTTAAAGAGAGAGGCTGTCGAAAGGATAAATAGGATTGTAACTGAATTATTTTTAGTTTTCCCTTTTGATGTTCCGTGCGGTGTTAATCTGGGGAATAATGACACTCAGCCCTTCATGACAGGTTGACAGATTTGTAAGGTGACTGCAGCAGACCAAAAAAAACAAAGGGTATTTGGCAAGAGAGGGGAGTTTGTAAACACTTATTTTTGTTTTAGTTCAGAACTGAAGTCTCATATTTGCCATGTTGAGAAAATTAGAGCTATAATAAGAGACCCCAAAATGTTTTTTCCTCTTCTTTCTATGAATTTATTATGATCTCACATGGACGCTCTCTAACCTCAAGTAAACCCCCATAAGTTAATCCATCCAGAATTTCCTGGTCTCCTGAAGGGTCAGACATTCTTGGTGCAACACAGAAAGCTGGAATAGTCCCTAAAATACAGGAGTCTTGCAGAATGCAGGATAGATCAAGTTCTACCAGAGAGAGATCACCTTACTTCAACAGTGATTATTTGGGGTACATTCATACAGCGTTATTCATTACTGGATATAACCCAGGCAGAACTGAGAGAATAATCCAGTGGAATTGGATTGTATACAGAGGCAAATGTCTGGACATCATTCACAAAATTCATCAAATTTAGACAGCTCCTGGAGGTACACTGGATTTTAACCCACACGGGTGATTTTTAATGTTTTAATCTTTTTTTATTGGTTTTATATAGTACATTCCAACATTAAGAAAAAACCAAACAAAACACATGGACGTTACAAATATAGACATTAAATACATGTAATATGGTTCAGTATGTTTCTCAGATATAACACTTATATACATCAATTTTAAACATAGTATATCAAGCTATTTGAGTTTTAGATCATATAAAATTATTTTAAGGGATTTCCCTTATTTTATTAATCCAATGGTCGTAGTTATGAATATGGTTTAAATTATTGTTTGAGTAAGAAACTTCCCTTTCCATTTCAAGCTGGTAAATAAGTTGATTTTTATGTTGGCTAAAGTCTGGCGTTAGAATTTGTTTCCAGTGTCTCGCAATAATTATTTTTGCAGACATGAGACAGTGGTGGGTCAATATTTGTTGGTTTTTTGGAAGTTTACCCCAGTTGAGGTGGAGAAGGGCTGTTTCTGGGGATTTTCTAAATTTATCTTAAAGGCTATTATATTGGAATTTATCGAGTCCCAAAATGCAGTTATTCTTGGACAGTTCCACCAAATATGTAGCATTAAACCTTCATGGAATAGGCATCCCCAACAAAGTAGAGAGTTAGCTGGAGATATTTTAACCAATCTGGTTGGGACTAAATACCATCTATGTAATACTTTAAAGAATGTTTCTATAATATTGAGACAATGTACGTGTTTTTTTTTGTATTATTATTATTGATCTTAAATAAAAACACCATTCCTCTTCTGTGATTTTTTTATTTTATTTTTTTGCTTCAGGTCATTTTCCCATTTTCCTTTTTGCTAGGAGTTCTATGAATAAATATGATTGTCTTATTAATTCAGTAGCTATCGAGCTAACTGCTTTGACCATGCTTCCATTGAAGATTTTACGAATTAGTTTTTTCTTATCTCCTTGTTACTTTTAAAGGAATTCGTTTAGGAAACCTCTTACTCTTATATACGCAAACGTTTCTTTTCAGAAATATCTAATATTCGTTTTAGATTTTCAAATGAAATTAACTTAGAGTTTAGGAGAAGGTCTTCTATAAAAATTTCTTTATGGATTCTCTATGAACTAAGATCTAAGTCTGGCATAACTCTTTCTAGCAGTCGCAGATTGGCTCCTTCAAATATTTTATTAGCTATCTTGAGATTCTTTTGTATTAATTGCCATTCTTCCATAAGGTGGTTTAAAACCCTTGGTTGGTGGTTAACCCTACTAAAGTCGTCCCATATCAAAAGGGCTAGGTCTCTTTCTTCAGATCTATCCAATTCCAAATTTGATGTGGTTAGTTACAACGTTTATTAATTGAAGCCATCGTTTACAGAAAAGTAATTTGACACTTGGCTAAAATGAGCATGTATGAACTTTTCAATCAACTTTTCAACCAGCATAGACGGCAAATAGGTTGTGTAAGAGTTAATAGTAGAGATCTGTTCACATATTAACCTTCACAGTGCTGCCTATGGTGTAAGTGGTTAATAGGTATTTAATACTGAGTAATAGTCAGGCCTATGATTTTCTTCATTTATTAATTCGATCCTTGCTTGTGCTGTCACTGCGAAGTTAGTTACATTTTGAGCCTGTTAATACTTTAGTTTTCTTTTAAATAGACGATAAACCCTAGTGTTGTCGACCTGAATGCAAAATTTTATCTTGTTTTTGGACTACATTTCCAGTAATTCTCAATGTTATGGCTGGAAAACTGGTGGGATGTGAGGGGTAGTGAATACAATCCTTAATCTCCCAATATCCAACGTAAATCTAAATTTTGTAGGTACTGCTTCCATAAATAAGTTTGAACCAACATTGTAATGCTTTAGAATTAGCCCAGGGCTCACTCAGAATGACTGTAATGTGTCCAAGCTGAAAATGTTTCCATGTTCCTTTTTAACCCTAACTTTTTTTGTTTTGTTATTTGCACAGGGCTGTGGGTTTTCCATCTGGAATTATTCTCTTTCTTTTAGCAAAGAACGAAGTTGATAAGAGGAGACTGGAACAACTCAAAGTTCGGCAGCGAATGAAAGATGCCAACCAGGGGCAGTACGAGAGAGAGAGATTCAGTAGTACTCCATAGCTGATATTTCAGGGGTGGGGGTGAGCAGATAGGTAATCTGCCCAAATCGTGAAAATGAAAGTCAGAGTAAGGGACAAGACAAACTTTGTTTGTGGGAATTTTCTTTACTCAATAGGCTGTAAGTGGCTTCCTGATGGGGATTGGGTTACTGTGCTTATTTTCAATTAAGAATCCATTATAAAGAAATGGCCTGCACTCAGATAATGTAAGGTAATGGCACGTTTCCTGCAAGGGTGGAAGGTATAACTACATTGTCACCAATTCAAATACCCTGAATTAATGTGGAAGGCCAAAACCCCATTCTCTATATAGCTACAGGCATGTTATCCACCATTCGTCAGGTTATTTTGCAGATTTTATAGAACCACTGCCATTAAATATTGGGGAAGGAGCAAAGAACAGCATATTGTTAACAATGCTACTGCAGACTCGTTCAAGTTAGACATTTGTAAAATATTCAGTTTTTGCAAAGCTTTAAAAAAAAAAAAAGCAAAACAATATTATGCAGGGACATCTGTATGCCGTAATGTCTGTATCAGAACAAATATTTTTTTTTGAATTGTCAAGCATTTGAGGAGTGCCATCCTACTACAAGTACTTATTGTGAATACGTTTACATCCCACAGCCTCCACTAATTAAGGTGCAGGTTACATTTGTTTAACATTGGTTGTATAAATTGTATAGATAGAAATGGAGGTGGGGTCACACTGAGCCTTAGTGGTTTCCATGTTAAGTAAAGTGAAAATAAAAAATATTGCTTTCTTCAGTGGGCAATAAATCTATATTTGTAAAAGTGTACTTTGCATATGATTCGATGAACTTAATAAAATGTATATACATTTAAGGTTTGTGTGTTGTTTAGTTGCTTTGTAACACCTACAGAGGAAATTTAAAGGGATACTACACACCATAACCACTTCAGTTTAATGTATTAGTAGAGATTAACCTAGTGGTTAGGGTACAAGGACATTATCGATGGCCCTGGTACCCAAAGCTTTTCCTAAGTTTGCCTTATTCATTGTGTCCAAAATATTTCTGCGGGTACGTAGGATTTGGCAGCACAAACGCTCTGTCAGCATTTCTAAATTGTCACAGGGAGGGGCGCTCATGAGAAGGATGGTCTTAATATGTGCATTTCTGCATATCATTACCCAGAAGCCTTATCATTTGTAATCACTTGTGCTATTTGTGATGAGGTATATTGCGTAGTACAAGACACAGTAATGCAAGTATGCTTTTTGTTCAGCATGTAAAATACAGTCTATCTTCAAACACTGGACAACCATGATATAACGTAACAGGTGGCAAACACTCAGCCTCTATTCTGGTTAGGGTTTGTGTCTGCAGCTTCATGTTGCAATCTATAGTACAGAGCCAAAGGGAGTATAGAAAGGCAGGCTTTGGGCCTCCCATGCTGCATGCACTTGGATAATATAAAATCAGGAGTAACCAACAGGCAGCTATCAAAAAGAAAGAAAAAATAAATTTCCCATGATGCTTCACCAGCCAATATGCTAATTCTTCATGTTGGCAACTCCTGATTTTGATTTCCCATTTGTGTAAAGAACTAAACAAAGTCCCAATCTATAATTCTAGTTTGTCTTTATGTAAAACCAACGCATACACCAGTTACTGTGGCAAATATAAAGTTTGGCACATCCAATCAGACAATACACCAATATAGGAGACTTTCCAAGTTGTTCTTCAGTGAAGGTCTGACATTCCGTTAGAAGGTGTGATTTACAATCTACCACCAGGAACTTGGAACTTTGCCTGCATGTACTCAGCAGGTTTTATTCCCTGTAACCTATACCATCAATATAATATATAGTACATTATCTGACGGGGGACGGGAGGCTCTTATGTTGAATTTGGCCTTAAGAAAGTTTTCAACTAATAATATGCCTCTAAAAAAAACTCCACAAAGTATATTCCCTGTGATATAAATTTAATAGGGTGTATTGGCATAAATGTACAATATTTACAGTTTTCAATGGACATACTAACCCACAGGCCATCACAGAGCTCGATGAAAATAAAATGGCCATTTTGGTCAAAAGGTGGAGGCTCAAGCTTGGACACTTCTGTACTTTGCAATGTTTACATTAATATTCTGCACTATTATCAATATTTATATGGCACCAACCTGTTCCTCCTAATATGATAATTTGGAGAATTTAAATGGTCAGACTAACCACCAAAACAACTTTATACAATTGCACGTCTTACTGGGTAGAGGATGCTCTACACCCACAGTTAAATGATGAATGTAATTTATAATTGCAACACTGCTTTGAAGCTTCCAACCAATCATCAGACTTTGTCAAACTGTTCACAACGCAGAATTATCTTCAGTGCACCTGTGTAATTACACGGTCAGCAGGCCACTGATCTCTGCACAAAGTGTGGTCCAGAAACATGTAATCTGGGCTTAGTATAAAAAGTGGCTATAGTATGGCTTCTACCTGTTGTCTGAGCAGGTTCACTCTTTTTATCTGAGGAGCAGAAGAACTCTTTAAACCTCTGCTGGTGTGGGTTTATGGGATAAGATCATACCCCATTGACCAGAACAAGAGGGTCCCCAATTGGTTGAACTGCCTGCTGATGAGGTAGGAGTTTAAATGTTCACTTACAGTCGATTGCAGAGTATAATTATTTTTATGCATATTTCTAATGTATTACTTTGCTTTTTTTTTTTTTTTACAATTGTTTTCCGATTAGAAGTTACAGTACAGTGGTGTAAGCGATTTTCTATTCCATGTTTTACTTTATGCTACATATTGCTGCACCCAGTTGCTCATGAAATTGCCTGGGTGATGGACATATTTTAATATACTCTGCTTTATTGGTGGAAGCAGCTGATTTTAGCCAATCTTTGCATGTATTTCAATATAGCCCCAACTCAGAAAGTCTCTCTATAATAATTACAATTCTCAAGTGGTGGCATGAAGGTGCCCCCCACAATTGGTGCAAATAAAATAATCCACTGGGTTTCAATAGTGCTGTGTTTGTGCCATGAAAAATAAGATGTATAATGCCATTATTAAGATAATGGCATTGGGTTTTTGAGTTATTACAGAATAAAAGGTCACCAAAGATCGCCCAGGCGCCCTGGGACAGCTAAAAACAAAACAAAAAACCACATGAATCTGGGCTGGTTGGTTGGTGGTGCCGTTAATTTTGTAATATGTAATCCAGTTCAAAAAAATGAAAGAATAGTGTACCTATCAACTGGGAAAAAGGGGAGTGTATGCCTAGACTTCGTAATTAATAATTGAAGTATAAGGAAAAAGAGCACTGATTAAAAAGACCGAAAGGTCAAAAAACAAAAAAAGATTTTAATGGTATTTTAAATATTGACAAATAGTGACAAAAATTGTATCTAAACGACAGTTGGTAACTAGACGCTTGATACAAAACAAGATAGAATAAAAAAAAGATACAATGTGAAAAACAAGGTAAACTCCAGTATCTTTATTGATGTGTAGAAATGGATATGCTATAGCACACGTCTGCGCTATGGAGGAGAATCAAAATGCTAGGAGGGTAATAAAGAATGTTAAGGCACAATTCTACCTAAGTAGGAATGGAACCTGCACATATAGATACCAAAGTCTACTAAGTGCTAACTATAGTGTCCCTAACTAAATCATAGGATCAGATAACGTTCAAATTACTGCGGTAATAATAGCACGCTGCTGCTGCTGTAGCTGTTGGAGATGGGTAGCTGCTATATCCCTGAAAAAGACAGAATCAGCTCAGCTACTTTTCTTAGTATCCGCTTCATTATTATTGTGAGAAGTTTCAGATATTCATTCTTCTATATCACCGCAGGGATGGCTATAGACCCTTAGCATGCTTCTACTCTTTCCCGTTCAAGTGTATCACTATACAGCTAATTTTACAATCTATACTGTCTCTCTGTATCTAACATACATTGTAGCCGATTATCGAATACACATCTAGATTAGAGTAGGAACTTTTGCTTGCTACCACTCTTATTAGGGATCCAGCACGCTATCAGGATCCTCTGTTATTTATAACATCGGATCTAAACGATCTTTGTTACCATCTTTTTCAGGGATATAGCAGCTACCCATCTCCAACAGCTACAGCAGCAGCAGCGTGCTATTATTACCGCAGTAATTTGAACGTTATCTGATCCTATGATTTAGTTAGGGACACTATAGTTAGCACTTAGTAGACTTTGGTATCTATATGTGCAGGTTCCATTCCTACTTAGGTAGAATTGTGCCTTAACATTCTTTATTACCCTCCTAGCATTTTGATTCCCCTCCATAGCGCAGACGTGTGCTATAGTATATCCATTTCTACACATCAATAAAGATACTGGAGTTTACCTTGTTTTTCACATTGTATCTTTTTTTTATTTTTATTTTATCTTGTTTTGTATCAAGCGTCTAGTTACCAACTGTCGTTTAGATACAATTTTTGTCACTATTTGTCAATATTTAAAATACCATTAAAATCTTTTTTTGTTTTTTGACCTTTCGGTCTTTTTAATCAGTGCTCTTTTTCCTTATACTTTAATTATTAATTACGAAGTCTAGGCATACACTCCCCTTTTTCCCAGTTGATAGGTACACTATTCTTTCATTTTGTTTGTTCCACTAGGGGTCACCCCCCTGCATTTAGTGTACCTTATTTGGCTGAATTCAATTAGTTCTTATGTAATCCAGTTCGACTCAGCTTTGTATAGTTGGTACCCTAGTTTTTTAAAATGTGAATAAAAATATACCATTCATTTGTGCTGCAGAAATTAAGATTTTTTGCCAGTTTTTGCTTTGGAAATATTGTGCATTTCAGATAATTAAACTGCACCCACTTTGTATCCCACAAATTTCCAATTTTAAAAACAAATATACTAATTTTTTGTGCGGTTAAACATTTTTTTGCTAGGATTGCATATGTATCATTTGTATAATTTTAATAAACCGATCTATTAGCGTTACTGAAACATTAATGATTTAAAGATCACAAAAGATCAGTCAGCCCCCCACAAGAGACCAGCCCCAGGGAAATGAAACTGGGCTGATCTGTCAGTGCCATGTTTGCCCCATTTAAATCTCAGTTCAGTCTCTTTTTTGTTGTTGTTAATTTTATTAAAGGAACACTTTAGTATTCGGAATACAAAGATGTATTCCTAACGCTATAGTGTCCCTCTGCCACGCCCTCCATCCATGAAAGGGTTACACAAAAAATCTTTCACTTACCTGATTCTAGCGCCAATGTGCAGCAAGGACATAAAAACAGGCTGGTTGATTAGTGCCGCATCTGTGCCATTTAAATATCTGTTCTGTCTCTTTCAGGTTTTAATTTTTTATATTTATATATATTAACACATATTCTCTTTATGTTACGTGTATTGCAATATATGCTATAGTTTTTCACCCATGTTTTTGTAAAATTTCTATGTAACATAAGGGAGTGAGCGCAGGACTTCTCTTTTTGTATTTGTATTTACTTTGTATCACACACCCTGGTTACAATGTTGCCACCCATCCCATGTGTTCCCTATTAAGGGTTAATAATTATATAGGGGTGTATATAAAAAATACCCCTCTGTCTCATTAGAGATATCTTTGCCAGAAGCTCAAGGAAGCAAGGTGAAGGGTCAGAGTAGGACCTGCTTAGGGGGGTCTGCCTTGACGTTGGCAGGCGGGCATTCCCTACAATGGCCATTGGAGCAACCATTTGTCTAAATATACATAGGGATTAAGGAGAGAGCGCAGGTAACTTTTTTCCTTTGGTTTTTACTATGTAATATAAGCGATTTGTTATTTAACTAACTTGAAATTACGTTTACTGTATACTGGTATATATTACATGTAACAGATTATTTTTAGAACTTTCATTTGTGCTATCATTATTGTAACTGTGCTCAGCGGTCTGTCACAAAACTTTGTTTTCAGGTGGACTGTATTGATAGATTGAGAGAAAGTGTCACTATAGTCTCCTTAATATACAGCAATAACCGCACAACTGATGCAATGGAGCTGGTGGCAAGACATGCTTCTTGGGGTCTTATTTGGATTACGGCCTCATTTTGTTGAGTGATGCAGCGATCCCTGAATGCTTAAAGTTGCCACGGCCAGTCAGGGTGACCTCTTTGACCCCCCCTCACTCCCCACAGGCATGGGGAGTGTCATAGCACCGGTTGGAGCAGTGTTTGTGAGTAGGGGGGTAATTGGATTGCATCCCTCATACTCTAGTATTGACCACAGGTTTAAAGTACAATGTAAGACCACATGAAAATCATAGTATTAGTTCTTAATCATGTAGTCATTACTTTGACACCATTAATTGCTATGTTTGTAAAATATGTTCCTGTTTTGGAAGGTGTTGGGTTTTTTTTTTTGTTGTTTTTTTACACGAGTTCTACAGAGAAGTGCCTTTTCTGTAAATTGCCGTCTTCCTACTGAGCGAAACAGGATAATATAAGACAGGTTTTAACAGACTGATTTTTTATTATGGCACAGGCAGTGAAAATATCTAAAATGATCACAAATAGCATTATATCATTCGGGTTTATATTCCAATTTATGTGCTTATTTAAAAATAAATAAATAGAAAGTTATTTTGCCCCCTAACAAGGACTAGTGAATGTTTAGCAATTTGTCAGGTTAGGGGCAAAAATTGGTGTCAATTGGGTCCTGGATTACATAATATGTCCGGAAAAAAAAAAAAAAAGTTATAACTAAAAATATAAATCAAAGCAGAACATATAAATATTTTAGCACAAAAAAGCCGCACAATTAAATGGTATTTGTTTTAAAAAATGTATGGTGCAAAGTGGGTGTATAATAGTGATGGTATATAATGCACAATATTTCTAAAAAGAAACCGCTAACAAACATCAATTTGTGCAGGTCAGATGCAGCACATACAAATGGTATATTGGTTTTTAAAATGTAATGCGTTTCACAAAGTGGGCAGGGTTTGAATATATACAACGCTTAATATCTCCAAAACCAAACTGGCAGCAAAAACGAATTGCTATGGGTTGGGTGACCTTTATTAAATTGTCATTAACTCAAAAACAAAATGAGAGAACAGAGATTTAAAAGGCACATAGGCAGAACAAATGAAAAAAATCCCATGCGTTTAATTTGTGCCGTTTGTAGTGGGACCAGCTTCACACAGCATTCTGAAGTGCATGACAGCAATGACAATAACGGTAAGGCATCTAAATTCAGATTAGAAAATACAAATAAATACAATGTAACGTTTTACCAACTTCTGGCCCTTAATGCCTTCCTTACCAGTCTTCTTACAGAGAGAAAGGTTTAACATTCAACATATGCTTTGGTTCTACGTACGTACATCCTAATGGCAGCTACAATATACTTCGACAAGGAAAATACATTTACTTCTCTTTAGTTAATAAAAAAACAAAAAAAACATGGTTTTAAAAAAGGAGGGCACTGAAAAGCAGGAATCCAGGGGGTGATGTTAAAAACCTGGCATGTTAAGTGTTCATAATTTCAAGGCACGAGGGAAAGGGGCAATAGCACACTGAGGGGGGTCCACACCAGGTGACAGGCAGAAGGGGGTACACACAGCACCCTTCACTCATTGTAGTGTGGCCATGAAGGACACAGGTAGGTTTCATTATCCTCTACTGCAGGTCTACCAGGGAGGAAGCTGCCGGACAGATACAGCCAGGGAGGGCGTAATTATATGGTGCCAGCACCCATTGCCTGGATACTGCCTACTGAGGGGGAGCCAGGAGGGATTCTCTGCTTCCCCAACCACTAGACATAGTGAGCAGCCAAGCCTCTGAAGGGAAGATTTGGTGATTGTTGCACGTTTCTGTGTGTCTGTCTATGTGACTGTGCTTCTGACTTTGTGTGTGTAAGAGACTGTTCATATGACAGTATGTGTGTGACTGTGCATCTGTATGTATTTGACTCTGTGCCTATGAATGGGATCGCATGTAACTGTTCCTCTGTGCCAGTCACTGTATGTGTGTGAATGTATATTTGTATGATAGTGTATCTGTGACCGGATGTGTCCATTTTTGTATGTTAGTGCATGTCTAGATATGTATGCATGACACCGTCTATGAAACATTAACAAGTTAAGGGGAGTCGGTTTAAGAGATACAAAAGAAGTTATATGGGTTGAAAGACAAAAGAGGGTAAAATGGTTAAGAGGCACACAAGAAGGAATTATTTTCATTAAACTGAGCTATAGGAAGGAGGAGACAACCTACAAAATGTAAACCATCACTGTAGCGTTGGGTGTGACTCTTTCTGGCACAATGTTTAAACTAGATCACAATGAATGTATGACATCACAGATTCCTAATTGTTTAATATTAATCATATTTACACATTACACTGCGAGTGTCTGTAAATGGCTCTAAAATTAAGCCCATGGCTGTCGTTCCAAAAAAAAGAATTTTACAGTCCAAGGCCTTTCATTAAGCCACGTTTTATGTAAACTTAAGGAAATAGTTTTTGGATTACAACTCCTAGCACAAGTAGCTCTTTTCACTGCAGCAGTCGTCACCTGTCGTGTTTCAAACAGTGTGAATGGTTAATTACAGAAGCCCTAGCAAACAGCACGTTTTAAGGGATTCATTTTATCTTTACGTCATGGTAGAGACATCTTGTCATTTATAGGATGTCCTGAATATAAAAACTGAAAGCTTTATTCATTTAAAAGATTTATGGAGAATTACAAGAATATATATATAGATTTAAAAAATAAAATAAAAAAAAGCACGAAGTTGGTGATTTTTACTCATTCGGTTGTATTTGCCTAAAATTTGAGATTCACCATAAATTCTTAGCTGGGTGAAAAACCCTGTCAGTGTTAAACACTAAAACAGGTACTGTAGAAAACATACAAAGAATATCAAATTTTAGGCCAAAAACTGGAAATGTCCTCCCCATAGATAATCTGAGCTAATCTGATATAAATTCTACTACTGAATTGGCCCAAATCCCATATGTGAAGCTTTAAATGGTCTATTGATGAACCTGCAGCTCCGACCACAGAAACGATAGTCTACGATAACCCTCAACAACCTCCAGGATATTAAAGCCAAATCAGTGGGGTCTTTCAGGTTACCAATTTGTTTTTTTTCAATATAACGAGGCACGTGTGAAAGTTACAGCCCATGTAGTTATGGTAGATATAGGAACCTTTTAAAAAGTGAATCAATGTTTTAGCGTCTCTGTAAATACATAATCCAGCTGGGTATATATCCCATTTCATCACATGGCTTAGAAGATCCCTTAGAGTGTTGTCAAAAGCAGAGTGTTCTGAAAGCAGTGTGTATCCTTTCATCGTTACTACATCCTGCTTCCAACGATCTGAAGGAGGCTGGTAAATATGTAGACAATATCTGTGTAGATCTTCAGTGCTCCGTATACATATTCCTCTGGACTGATCGTGTGTTTCCTATTTCCAAGAACCAGCTGAGTATCGTACGCCAGAAACTGTTGGGAAAATAAATAGAAAAACAGTCAGAGATCAGATAAAAATCATAAGGCAGAACAATAATTGAGAAATGATGAGATAATATTTCATAGAGCCATGTGCCAAGAAAAAAAGACAATTGTAACACTGACATCTTAAAAAGATAAGCTTTCTGTCTGTAGTAAATGTTCAGAGTATGCAAGTGAAACGCCTTTTTGAACAAATAGGTCACATTTGCTAGAATACGCATTTCAGCTGACCTACCAAAGTATCATGCTATGTCCTTATGGATTTTAACATAAGTATTTCCTCATACCAGAAAGACATAACTTGTCATTAAACCAGAGTTTAAAAAAACAAAACAACACCAGTGAATGAATGTTGCTTAGGTACATTGCCTTTACATTCAGATTGATCTATTGCTATTAGATTCGGATTGGGTCAGAATCGAAATTCTACTGAATTCTTCTCAACCAAAAATCTCTTTAAAAATCATGACTATCAGTTTGGAACAACCAATAATTTTCACTGTGCACACACCTTCTTGCTATACTAAGCTGTAATTAGGCAGAGTACAGCTAAGTAGCTCCTGGTAAAATTAAAGGGCATGGGGTATCTGTCAACTGGAACTTTATCCTGGCTGCGAATCATGAAAATTATAGTCCACAGCATGTTGAGCAGGTATCCCACAATAGTATCCCCCCTAGCCCCCTCCAGTCCTACCCAAATCTTAACTTACCCCAACTCTAAACGTAGTGACGTCCTTTCAACAGTATCTTTTGTTTTGGCAGTTTAATGCCGCTGCATACAAAATGCAACGTCATTAGAACGGCGCCATATTTAACAGCAACTTCTCTAACTCTGCCTTCAATGCTGAGACTTTAAATGCTGCCACAGATCTTTAGATTTTTATTTTATACAAAGTAAGCTTCCAGATAACCGTGTGCCAAATAGTGCAACTAAAACAAGTTGGCAATCACAAGCGGGAACTGAATGAGATTTAAAAAATAAAATAAAAAAAAGCGTAAACGAGGAAAGGAAAACGCATTGACTAGATGAGCCAGTTGGCTCTTCACCTGCTGTTTAGTGCACCTGTGTTGATAGGCAGGTACACTTCAGATAAATATTGGGCCATATCTGCTAGTGATAGCAGTAAATACAGAGATTACAATGGAATATGACACAGTGTCAGGAAGCAGCACTGAGATAGGCATAATTTGGCAGAACCAGCCTCGCCACTGGGCATTGGAGAAGACTGATTG